TGTTGTTTCTTTATTACTACAGCTAACAAAGAAACTTTAGCACAGTATTAATAAAGTTCTGCATTTACTAAGAAGAAACTTGAATTGTTAACCGACTGTTGATTGTGCTCCTTACAAATGACTAACTCTTCTTAGTGGAAAGGTTGCTTCTTGACAGCTCTCGTTTGATATGAGTCATTCCTCTCTCGTAACTTCGTTCAATTAAGTGTTTGCATCATCATTGTGCTGGTTCTACTTATTTTCGTCTTCGTTTGAATGTATTTATGCTTTGGTTAAGACGGCTTAAAACGTCTGCAGCTCTTCACAAAAGTCGATTTTAGCTGACAGGTTACAGATGTTTGACAAATTTTACACTTGCTTATTCTCAGTCCTGATCACGAGATATAGACATTCCACGTGAATAGAATGACTGAACAACATCGTAATGCACCTTATATTTGTTGCAATCACGTAAAACCTTTTAACTTTGAGAATTTGATTGAATTAAACATGAAGTTTCTTGCTTTGCATTACATGAAACCATCTTTATTATATTTTAGTTAAATTTATTATTCCCAATTGTAAAAATTTTCTGATCATTCAAGTTATGATTAATTAATTCTGCCATCAGAAATCTGGCAAAATGAATTATACTGCTATTTTGAACCGGATAGTTAAAATTCATGTACTGTTCTAAGTGTACACTTGCTAAAATTACGATTAAGTTGTTAAGTTATTTTAAATACTTAATGCAAAAAGCCTAGAATTTGTAACTTTAATGTACAAGCTGCCGCTTAATTAATGAGGACCAAACTCCATACCCACAGACATACAAAATTTTGTTCTTTTACCTTGTTGGTTTTGGTTTGTTTTCCACTCAAGTAAAAGCTAAAGGCAACAATAGGATAGTCACGACTTCTTCCAAATAAAAATTAGATACCTCCATTTCGAATGCTTCACCTGATGAGAGCAACATGTACCATACATTTTTCCCCTTCATTGTGTAAAGATTGCGTGATGATAAAGGTAAATATCCTTAATGGTACCAAAAATGGCTGAGATGGTTGCAATTTGTGCGTACAGTTAACAATTTCATTAAATTGAAGTGGTTTTTGATCTGCGGCATCAGTGTTCTTGGTTTTTTCTCTAAAATTTAGAGAAGATTTTCAATTGTGCATTCATTCAATATTGACAAAAATCCTTGTAAACATTCATACATTGTGCGGGAATTTTCTTGCCAATATTTAAATTAATAGTATTATATACCAAACATCACCCAACATTTCAACAATGACGTGGGAAATGTATGGTACATGTTGCTCTCATCAGGAGAAGCATGCGAAACGGAAATATCTAAATTAAATCATGAAAAATTCGTGACTATCCTATTGCTCCTATTAGATTTAACTTTAGTGGAAAACCAGTCAAAACCTACAAAGCAAAAGAACAAAGTTTTTTTACCTGTGGGTATAGAGTATGGCCTGTTTTATTAAGAAGCAGTTCGTACATTAAAGTTACAAATTCTAAGTATCTTGCCTTGTAGCACTTGAAATAAATTTTCAACTTAACATCTTAAACTGCACAAGTGTACATTTAAAACTGTACATGAATTTTGACGGTCAGCTTTAAAATAGCAACATATTATATTCTGTCAAATTTTCTTATGGCACAATTTATTAGCCCTAACTTGCTTGATCAGAAAATTTATACAATTGGCGATAATAAATTTAATTAAAATATATAATAAAGATGGTTTCTTGCCTTGCTACGCAAGAAACTTCACGTTTAAATAAATTTAATACTGTCAAAGATAAAAGGATTTGCCTGATTGCAACAAACATGGGGCGTTTAAAACACTTTTATGTTCTCTTGAAGAGTAAAGCCTGAGATGCTTTGTGATTTTTTTGCCGAGACCTGACTGAGACATGCCTGCGATGCTTTTCAATGACATAAATCAAATGGCCGATAGACCACAAACATTCAGCGGCAGTTTGAATTTGACAAAGTAGTGCTTCGTAATTTGAAAATAGCGTTACAATTAGCAAATTATGCGGCCCTTTTAACAGTCATTTCAAAATACATCAATGATGGGAAAGCAAGTTTGATAAAAAGAGAATAATTTGGATTTTACTCTTTCAATTTGATTTTTGTACTCTAGACACGATTTATCATAAATAGCCCGATAGTTGCGTATTGTATCTATAAGTTTTTATTTTTATCGTAAAGTGATCGGAATTATTCCATTGAGTCTTTTTGATTCCATGTCCTGCGTTGAAAATTCATCCACCATCTTTTTACCTAAATGAGTGACGGAAACTCAACTCAACTCTTACGGCATTTCGGCGATATACCGCAGGTAACTTCTACAACAGCCTGAAACACCATTGGTGTGTCAGCGATGAGTGTTCACATTTGCCTTAAGTGCAACGAAGGCATCGTCACAGGTATGCCTCAGTCAAGTCTCAGTCATATGTGAACTATGTCAATGGCAAGGAGCCCAATCAATGGTCGGTTGACAATTCAAGTCTTCTCTTCGTCAAGGCAGAACCTTAGTCATAAAATACCCACACTTGAAATGCAACCAAATCTTTAAAATTTTTGACCAAAAATCACCAAGCAAGGACGAGTCCGTTGAATTTAGTCCTTTGATTTATCACTGCCATTGATAAATATGGCGAGACCATTGGTTGCTAGAGGTTTACACGATACACTTCCGACAAGAGAAGGATGGCAGGTGTCAAATATTAAATTTTTCAAGCTCATTAACATAATAGTTTTACATTGTGTAAAAACTTGCCAAATTTCGTCATTGAAATAGGCAACTCTTGTACACCAAGCACATGACCAATGCTACTTCGTGCGTGTAAAATGGTTGTTGTTCAACAGCCGATATATTCCGTTCTAGGTCGAAGTTAAAAAATGCCCACAAGTAGTTTTAAGAAAAAGTGTTGCATTAAATGAATCTTTGGTTTATTTTTTTTACTCGAAAACGTAGCTCACCAAAGGCTTCAAACAAAGTGCAATTTCTCAATCCTTTTGTTTACATTTTGCGTTTTGCGAGTTTTGATTGGCTAATTTTTAGAAACGTAAACAAACCTCTGATTGACTCAAAACGAAATTCTCCTTTGTTCATCGCTGTCCTTAAATTAGTAATTTCCAAATGGGCTAATTTTAATTGCAGCTTTTGTTTAATAGTTCTATACATCTTTTTAACTGTTTGTATGACAATTGTAATAAGAAATATCATTATGACTGCCAACATAGCCAGCCTACAACTTTGAATCCTGCCATGTAAAATTTGCAAAATAATCATTACTCATTTTTTGGTGATCTTTACATTTTTGCGTTTTGCGAGTTTTGATTGGCTAATTTTTAGAAACGTAAACAAACCTCTGTATGACTCAAAACGAAATTCTCCCTTGTTCATATCGCTGTCCTTAATTTAGTAATTTCCAAATGCGCCATTTGGCTAATTTTGCTTGCAGTTTTTGTTTAGTAGTTATATAGGTCTTTTGAAATATTTGTATGACAATTGTAATAAGAGAAATCATTATGACTGCCAACATAGCCAGCCCACAACTTTGAATCCTGCCATGTAAAATTTGCAAAATAATCATTACTCCTTTTTTGGTGATCTATTGTGTCTGCATGCCAAGAGTTGACACATAAAACTAAGCATACCAGGACAAAATTATGGTGCACTAGCTACAACACTGATTTTACCTACAGCAATTTAATGAATGTGATTTTTGTGCTTCTTCTAACAGCTAGAATTTCTTTTAGGACGTTGATTTGAAATATTGTGGAAGATCACAACGTCATCGATATTATTGTAACAGTGACCAAACTTGCTGTTTTCGACCCGTTGCTAAATACTACTGTTGTTTTTGAAATGCAGTATGTTGTCACAACGGGAATTGCTGCCCTCCTGGAACTGAATGCGTTAATCTCAATCTTTGCCGCCATTTTCAAAACATGAGCAACTACTACATAAAGTGAAAATCTTTTGTAGTCCATGAAACATTTTTACATCTAAAACGTTTGGGTGAATGGGTAAATATATGTAAACATTATAGCATAACAGAAATCAACACATGTTTTAAGTAATTATTTTATGACAAAAAATATAGTAGAGCTTGACATAAAATTGTTAACTTGTTATATTCTTTGTCGTCACGTTTAAGTTGAAATCAGTAGAGGGTAGTGATATTAAGGTTATGATATGGTCGAAAACGATATTTTGAAAATGTAATATAATGCTGATATTTTATACACATTAATAAGAGAATCTGAAATCGAACAGCCTTGTTTTAATGCTTGTTGATTTTGCTTCCAGAAGAATATATTTAGTTTATGCTTCTCGTCATTAAAAGAATTTTTTACTGCCAAAAAACAAACACGAATTGTTTTGCCGTAACCTTGGTTCTCATTAAATCGCTTGAGTCGACCGACTCGTTCCGAGTCGTTTCCTTGTTTTTTAAACGACTGGGACGACTCAAGCGATGTTCTCATATATTCGTACTAGCGCTGCCGAGAGACTGCTTAATTATTGTTTCGCGAAACATTTAGAAATTGCAGCTGCTGTTTATCAAAGACAAAGTCTTTTGGCTTTTTATTTTCTACTTCAAATCGTTTTGCGCCATAAAAAGTCGCTTGCATTTCTTAACGTTCGTTTCGGTCGTCCGGATAGAGCAAAGTTCTATCCAAAGAGCAAAGGTCAGTCGTGTGATACATTTGACGTCATCCCAGTAACCTCTGGTATGTTTTCATCATGTCGCACGGTTTTGGCACGGGTTTGGCACCACTGAAACATATAGTATGTTAAAGTTAAAGGCCGAGAATCTGGGCTGTTTAGAACATACAGAAAAAGAAGAAAAATGCCAAGAAAGAAAAATTTATATGTCATTAAATTTCACATAAGGTAAATCTTGCCAAATTCTATCCATTCACGCAGTCATATGGCTATCAAATTACTAAAGCAAAAGTATTTTGCAAAACTACAATTATTTCATCACACATCAACATTCACATGCCTGTCATGCTTGACATGATGATTATGCATATGGTCTTACAGAGAGCACATCACATAGGGCAGAAAAGCTTTTAGGAAGAAGAAGAAAGGAAAGGACAGCAATAAAACAATAGCCAGGTATAATTTTACTCATTACATATAAACATCATTAGTATAGGCAATTTTGATTATTCCAATTACTAGAGAGTGTATTTAAAATATGTATAAATACATTTATGTTATTTATTGGTTGGGACTCAAAGGTCTCAAAAAATTCTTGCATGATTTTTGTTTTGCTTTTTGGGTTTTACAAAACTTTTTCCAGTTGCTTGACATTCAATTCAGAAATTTCGTTTTATGGAAGGCAATATAATATCATGTGAATGAAAAAATAAAATATTATTCTGATTTTAACTAGCGGCTATGAGTTTCTATAATAAAATACAAACTTCATCATTTCATTTTAGTCATGAAAGTATTCTACATTATTTTGATTCTTTTGATTCTTCATGAATCGATCGAAATAGAATCAAACGATCTATCAAAGCAAAGATTGATAAACTCAGTGTCAGAAAGGAAAGAGAAAGGGGTATGTAGCTCCTTTTGCTATTTTATCAATTTGAAAAAAATTGTAGGTGAGACAATACTGTAGAAAGCAAAGTCCCAACCACCGAGTAACATGAATCATTAGAAACTATAAAATAACATATGCGAAACGCGTGATCTGATTGATTGATTCCCGTGTTTTTGATCAGACCTTGTGATAAACTTGGTGATTTGAATAGCATTCGCAAGACTGTTTGAACATGCCTAAAAACAAAGACGATCTTTTGCCAATATTAGGGAAACACCAGCCATAAAGGTGACTGTTTTGCAACCTTTTTCCTACCTGCAATATTTTCAAATGTTTGGATCAAGCAATCTAAACATTTGAAACAGTTTAGTAAATGCTGTATACATTAACAATCAAAGGTTAATGTTGTTCTTTTTTTTTAAGCGGGCGCAAATATGAGAGCTAAATTCACCCAAGTGAACAAAGCCGTAAAATATAGTAAAAATAGGCACGCAATTCGTTTATGTGGTAGCAAAGTGCGAAGATCATATCTTCATTTAATTTCAAACACCGCACTGCATAAAACATTCTTTCACATGACATTCCTTTCACGAGAAAACATGAGCCCAGCAAAATTGACCAGCTCACCACTGTGTGACTTCATAGCTCAATTGGTCAGAGCACTGCACCGGCACCGCAGAGGTCTTGGGTTCGAATCCCGTTGAGACACCTAAATTTTTAGGGTTCTTGAGACAATTGCTTAAATTCTCCAGTTAAGTGCGAAGATTATATCTTCATTTAATTTCAAACACAGCACTGCATAAAACATTCTTTCACAGTACTAAATGAAGTAGATAATATGAGCCTTATTGAAATAAAATTATATATTTAACATTATTTTCGTCAAACTTGTTTAAGGTTTGAAAATGTTCTTTAGTTATATGACCAATTAATTGTTAAATCCTTTCTGCATTTTTCGAACGCTCTAGCTTAGATTGCATGTCACGTGACTATGCTCAAGCCTCGCATCAAGGAAAATAACGTCATTTAGATTTCTCGCGAATTTTAAAAATTTTTTCATAGAAAAGCACTTTTGCTTTCAAAAAAGAAACTTTGCGTTTCAAAACGTTTTCTGACATGTTTAAGACATCGTTCATTAAGACACAAGTCCTTAGTATTTCTTATTCATAGTTTGACACGTATCGTATTTTACTTGACGTAAAATAACTAAAATTGTAAATCCATAGAAATGATATTTGTATTTTGTACAATATTTGAAAGAAAAATAAATTCACTCGCTTTTAGCGTTTGACTTTACCAACTTTGTAATGTGAGTCTGCATGAGTAAAGCGAACTATGTATAAGCGATGTAAATAATATCGAATTGGACTATACATATACCATACAGTACATGTAAAAGTTGTTAGTACCGGTCGTTGGAACGAGATATAATTGTTATTTGTGGTCGCTTAAGAGCAGGCATTTGAAAAATATCTTGACTTTATTTATTATGCTTTTATAAAGTTTTGTGAAGAAAAATTTTTCGTTTTTACATCCCATTATTCGAACTCATGTTTAGTTCCGCTTGAATAGATGACAACAGCAATATCGTACAACTATACTAGTCAATTTTTGGGCCGTGATGTTTATAGAAAATATTTCTGAAAATAACAATATTTTGCTTTCAGTGTTTGATTAAATTCAGAACAGAGTACTGTAAGTCTGTATGAGTAAAGCGAAAAATGTATAAGCAATGCAAATAAAACCGAATTGGACTATATACCAAACAATACATCTTACTAAGGCCCTGTTCACACGATACCGGATTCGTCTTGTACCGGATTCGCTGAGCAATCCGATACGAAAAATGTACTCTGTTCACATGATGCCGGATTTGTAAGACGATACATAAGTTTTTATATCGTCCCAGTACTTGTACGTGCAAGCGGCAACGACGATGGTTGCCAATTCAAATATTTCGTGAGAAATGAGAAATTTTTTTGACAGATAACTAAGTAGAGTTTTTTCTTGGGCGTATTAAAGTTTTTTACGAATGGGCGCAAGGACTGGAAGAGTGTAAAGTCCAAATACGACCGAATATATGTTGACATTACAATAATACTAGAAACAAGCTTTTCACATTGCGATAATACATTGTTAAAAGCTCAAACATGCCACGTTGAAGTATATTATATTTGCTGGCGGATTATTCAATTAAAACATAGTTTGTATCGCTATGTTTGCTTTCATTTTTTAAAAATCGCACAGACTTTTTATGCCTGGTTTCCATATGATCGTTTCTGTCGCTAGAGTCGTTTCTGTCTGTTGAAAAAGTCCCTGCGGTGATCAAACGACAGAAGCGATTATTGCGATGAACTGGTTTCCATTAATCGTATGCATCGTATCTAATTTGAACTAGTCACCATACACTTACTGTATGATATATTCAAAATGATGGCAGTCAATCGAAGAGGAAGACTTGTAGCGTATTATTTTCTTTTGCGTGTGCTGAGAAGAAGGAGAGAGCGAAAGAAAAAAAGAAAACATCGTTTTTGGGTTTTAATATTTCGAAAATTTGTTATATAAACAATCATACTTCTGTACTTCTTCCATAAATGAAGACGTAGAATTAAAGTTGATAGCCGCCATCTTTAAATACGGAATCTCGCACATGGATTACGGATGTATCATGGGATATATCAAGTCGCTTCTGGCGTAACGAACGTTTTGCACCGGTTTCCATTAAAAAATGCAAGCGCGTAAAAGGTGTTTCCGGTCGTTTCTGTAGCAAGGATAGAACTCTAGTCTATCTCAAACGATCGATACGTAAGGATCGTTTCTAACGTAAGGATCGCTTTTGTCGTTTGAGTTGAGCGTTTCCATATGATCGTCTCTGTCGCTTCTACAAATTGTAAGCGACAAAGACGATCCTTACGACAGAAACGATCATATGGAGACCGGGCTTAAGTTGTCAAAGTTGAACGTATCGGATTGGTTTTTATTCCACTTCCACAGCGAAGTCAAATTGCTCCGTAAAAACGATACAAAGCATATCGGATTCCAGCAAAGCCGTATGAACGCAAGGCCTATCCGGTACGAAAAGTAACCCGGTATCTAACCAATCCGGTATCGTGTGAACAGGGCCTAAGTCCAAATTGTTAGTACTGGTCGCTTGAACGAGATATAATTGATATTTGATATCACTTAATAGCCTGCATTTGAATATTATCTTCACTTTTATTTATTATTTTTTTATGAAGTTTTGCGAAGAGTAAATTATTCGTTTGTAAATCCCATAAATCGGAGCTCATATTTATTTCCGCTTTAAAAGATGACAAGGAATAACGTATAACTATACAATTCAATTTTTGGGCCGTGATGTTTTTAGTTAATATTTCTCAAAATAACGACATTTTCTTAGGATTATGCCACCGACGATTCTGTGCTTACTGCAAATGACTTCTGTTTGATCTTTGTACGTGGCAAGACGCTTCACAGTTCACGCATAGGAATAATGTTATTACATACTATATATTCAGGGGCGGATCTAGGATTTTTCAAATATCAGTCATAAAACGTCGGAGGCGCTCCGCACCTGGGGGGTCTGAGGTATTCTCCCCAGAGAAATTTTGTATTCCAGAGCCTTGAAAATGTCATTTTTAGCGTTTTAGAGCAATACAAAATGTATTTTGTGGGAATCGTTTTTGCGTAAAAACAACACATTTTGCATACGTTTTTTCAAAAAAAATTAAGTGAACAATACTTGAATGTTTTGCCAAATATTTAGGCTCATTATCATGCCAAATATATGGCTCATTAGCATGTCGAGGAACGTAAAATTTATTTTACAATAATGCTATTCAAAAACAGATATAGTCTTTAAAAATTTCTACCAAGTTGTCAGGCATAGACCCCCCTAGAGACCCCCATTCAAACCTCTATGTAATGAGTTAAGTTAGAAATTTTGTACTACAAGTGACAGTTCATAGATATAGAAAAGCTCAGACTTCAAACCATGCAACTTTATTGTAACCTTTTACCCATCTCCACATCAGTGGAAGCAAATTCACTTTCTGAGAAAAAACTCAAGATTTTTTTCTGCCAAAGATTAAGCAAAAACTATCATAGTGAAAACTTGCAGTTAAGGACAGCTTAATGCCATAAATGTTTATTAGGCATTTCACCAGACTATTATCTTCTGTAAATATGTGCAAGGTGTGCTATATAGCAATCACTAGTAGCATTGTATTTGCAAATACAAACAGAATGTAACCAACATGTCTTTAATTATAAAATTACATGAATGTTAAAATTGGTTCATGTGTCATGCTTCCTGGTTATGATATCTTTTCATATGATCAAAGCTCGTTTAAATGTAAATCTGAAATAATTTAGTTTAGAAATTATAATGATCATCAGAAAAATTACCTAGTGATCATGAAAAATACTTTGCTGTTTTGCCAAATTTCAAGGTTTATCTGCATACATAGAAAGACATTTTTACTTTATAGAAAATTCTTTTCATACATCAATAGCCCTTTGGAATTTATGGCAAACAATCTGATATGAGCTGTAGATTAACACACCTTTACATCTCTACATGAGGTGTTCAGTTAGAAAAGGGGACAATATGTGACATGGGACAACATTTCATGTATGTGGAATACTCAGGTTTAATACCATTCCAGTTAAATTGTCAAAATAAAAATCTTCATGGATCAGAAGACTTAAAATCACACGTTATAGTAAACAGATTCTAATGTAATCAATGCTAGTTTTCTCAAATCTTAAACAATATGTAGTATAACTGTCCAATGATTGAATGATCAATGATCATAAACTGAAAAGCCCCAAACATTTTTTTATGATAAAGTAAATAATAGTATGGCGCCTTATGGCTACACATTTTTTGTCCAATGAAATATATTTGCAGGAATGTAGAATTTCGCTGCCATATAACGGCCACGATTCCCAAAGCACTAAAGAAATCATAGCTAAAAGTCCTTCGGCAACAACAATTTTAGAAGAATCAATCT